AAAAAAAAGAGAAAAAAAATATAAAATATATAGGGAATAGAAAAAAGAGTATTAATGGGATTAATATAAATCCACAGCGCAAGAACTCGTAGCACAGTGAGAAGAACAAGCACCGGGATACTAGATATAATTATCATGAAAATTGTGGGACTATATAAAGGTTTTATATTCGTCTCTCTCGCACCCAAGAATAAACAGATTTCGTGAGTCAAAGAAGAATAAAACGAGATCGATGAAGTGATAAATTCATTTACTTCGCCTCCATTTTATAAGAATAAATACAACGGGACCACCTCGCTAGGAATACTGGTTGAATAGAGTTTGTGCCATAGTTGATAACTTCACGTTATATATTTGTATACATGTAGATGTAATTAAGTAACCAATATATGATTTGTTAGCACTTAATTAATTAGCAAGTAGCAAACCGTTCAAATTTCAACCGTGTGTTGTAAAACAATAATTATTTAAATATTAATATTAATATTAATATTAATTAAACAACTTAAAAGGGATAGTTTCGTATGATATTTACACGATAATACACAAAAATGGGTTATAGTCAAATTACTATCTCAAGAGTAACAAATAAAAGAACTCTTGGCAAATAGTATTAAAAGCTTTTCTGAAGATATTGTAACTTGATATTTAACAAACTAGTATTTTTTTTCCCGTGCGATGCACGGGATAGTATTTCAAAAGTGAGAATACTTATTGATTTAATATATGACAATAACAATTATAATAAAATTTATTTGTGATATTGGTAACATCATCAATATCTATACAAATTTAATAATATAAATTGATTCCGAAAAAAAAAAGTTATATTAACTTAATTCTCATAATATAAAATTAATTATCAAATAAATGAAACGTAGAAAAATCAGAGAAAAATAATAAGAACAATTAAAAAGATATAGAAGCAGTGGATTATGATTGTGCTAGCCTAGATTTGGTGTTAAAGTAATTAGAAAAAATTATTGCGAAATAGGAGATAAATATATTAATAAATAATTTGTTTTACAAATATACCATTAGGGTTTGTTAGGTTGCCCTATCGTTTCTTTCTTTTATATATAAGATAAGATTTACCACAACTCATTACAACTAAATAAGTAAAAATGAAAATAAAACAAAAATTATTTATTTTTTATTAAAAGTGTGGCCTTACAAAATTTCGGCCTTATTGTTTAGGTTTTGTTTTTGCTATTTTTTCAACTCGTGGCATATTTGAGATTATTTTTAATCTTATATTTGTCTTTATTAAATTTCTTATTATATTTTGCAACCACTATTATTTTCAGACATAGACATCTCTAATAACACAACCAAACGTAGACTCTCAAATTGACAAGTGAGACACTATGAAACTTCAGCCTCATTTTTGTACGGTTTATTTTTGCTCTTCTTTTTTTCCAACACGTTTTAAAGACTTCCCCAACTTCTTTCTTCTACCTATTTTTTTCCTTGTATAATGGATAGTGACTCGTAGTTTCCAACGAGATTATACAATGGGATACGATTTCAGCATCATATCTTACTATCAGATAATATCAAGTTGCAAATATAAATAATTAACTGTCTAGATTAATAAAATTGTATACTTTAATGTTACTATTTGGAAATATTACTATCAAGTGCACATCAAATTTGGTTATATGTATCGGGGTTATTGATGGGAACTCCCTCTAATATTTTTTTTAATAAATATGGATCCAGCTCTTTTTCCTTTATTAGTGATAGGTCAAACTTTTCTCTTATTCCAAATTTACCCTCTCTACTATTCCCTACCTACTACTTTAATGCCTTAATTATTTCTTTTAATCACCATTTTCTTTTATTTCTTCATTTATTTTTTCTAAAAATAATGTATTTTAAAAAATATTATTTGAAAAATATTTTTTAATATTTTTTTTTCAGCTGTTGGTTTTCCAAATCAACTATAAAATTTCATAAAACAACTATTAAATTTTCGAAATCAACAACAATATTTCTTAAACAACTATAATTTTGTTTTTTTTCTCCTACTTGTTGGCTTATTTTTTTCATAATCAATTACAAAATTACTCAGAACAACTATTTTTTGTTTTCGCTCTTTCCCTGAATAAACTACAAAAAACTCCAAAACAACCACAAAAAGATTTTCAATAGCAGGTTTACCAAAAAATATTAACCAAAAATTAACGGAAATTAACTATAATAAATCAAAATCACCTATAAATATTGAAAATAACTATAAAAATCTAGTTGTTTAATAAGATCAACTAAAATTATCGAAAACAACTACAAATTTACTGAAAACAACTGTAAAGGTATCAAAAATCACCTACAAAATGTCAAAAACAACTACAACGAAAATACCCAAGATCTGTAAACTACAATCAATTTATTTCTTCTTCTTTGTCATGGCTCTTGGCTAATGTCATCCCACAAGTACTCCCAGCAATGCATGCCTCAAAGAAGCCATAGCCTCCAGTAATCTAACATTACAAAAACAAAATTATGAAAGGTCAAAAATCAAATACAAAGTTAAATTCAAGGGGATGTGTAATCGAAAATCAACTAAATTGACCACAAATTATAACTACATATGATAACTACAATACAGGGGATGCCTAATCGGAAAAACCCTAGCTTCTCTAACCACTTTGGCGGCTGCAGGGGAGGGGTCAGTGACGCGCACCGGCGGGCGGTGATAGAATCTCGACGAGGCGGGGCAGCGGTGGTGACTAAGGCACGGAGCAGCGACGAAGGAACAATTTTATAGACAAAATAAGTGGAGAAGGTCACTGCATGCAGGGGTTGTGCCAGTGGAGCGTCGCGGCGAACGTAGGTGGAATTAATCGCGGTGGGGCGGGGCATCGGTGGTGGTTGAGGCACAGATCGGCGGTGGAAGAACAATTTTTACAACTATGGTAGAAGAAATGGAGGCTGATGGAGAAAAAAGGAAGATTGGAGAAGAGAAATAGGGTTTCCACATAATCACATATTTAAATATATGAGTAAATTAAGTATATTCAGTGTTTAGTTTATTAAATATTTATTTAATTCAATAAGTAGGGGATTTCACTAATAAAATAAAAGGGATTAAATCCATTTTTATTATACTTAATGAATAAGGTTTTCACTAATTTACATGAATAATCATTTTTGTGATAAGATTCTAGTAGTGCATTATTTTTGTGCACGTGCATTGTCATGTGTTTGACATTATAGAGGCCCGAAGAAATTTCGAAACAAATTGTCCCTACCTTGTTCTGTATTATTTATTTTTCTTCATTATTAAGAAATTTATATTTTCTGTCTTACTACTCATTAACAAAATAAAAAATAAAAGATTATTAATTTATTGAAAAAAAAAGAATTTTTGAAACATATTTTGTATCGAGATATTAATGCGGAAAACAAAAATATATAAACTGCTATTAAATATTCATTAAAAAAAATTATATATAATTTTTTTAATATCAGTCGCCTTTTCCAAATTAAGAAAAAAAGCGAGAAAAAAATGTGCATGAAAAATACTATTTTACCTTTTTCATGTACTGATTTTAGAAATCAAAGTTCTTTCATATATCTAATGACTATATACAAATGAAGAATATGTTCAATAATTAAGCTGAAAACATACAATCACAATCAATTAAGGGAGTTTAAAGAAATCGATCATTTATCAAAGAAAACTGACTAGGGGCAGTATAATTTCCCATTTAAATAATAGCAAAGTATTTACTGTAAATAATCCACTAATTCAAACTGCCTTCAAATGAACTTCTTCTTGATCTTGTTCCTATATAAATAAAATATAGTTGGCTATTATACGAGAGTGTAGGTTTACCCAGTGCACCTATATGGTTGGATGCGGGTTTTTTTACTACCAAAAAAAATATATATAGTTAGCTATCACTTATTAGATGGCCTAGTAGTTGCAGCAAGTGAGTTTGTGTCAATTACTTTCGTCCCCGCCCCCGTTTTTTTTTTTCCCAAAATCACGTTTTCCCTAGTTTAGTGTGAAGATGTCCGAATTTTGAGCTTTGGATTCATGTTCTGGTACCCATGATTGCGTAAAAAGATCAAAATCTTGAAAGTAAAAATGTAAATTTTACTTCCAGTCCAAGATCGTAATTGTCCACATTTTTCTTCATTTTTCTATCCGTAAAAAAATAAAGTTTTGAATTGACAAAGAAAAAAATGGTCACCTAAGATGACATCATCAAGTTGTGAAGGCCAAAAATATATAATCAAAAAATATTGTATGTTCTATTGAAGATCCCTATAGAATATTGTATATGATTGTAATATTTAGGTCCGTGGTAGTTCTTTAAAGTATATTTAAATTAATGTCGTTGTCAGTCCTTATAGATGTTACATTCGGTCAAATACAGGGGTAGTATTGCATTAGTATTGATCTACAAACGTTATTTAAACACACTTATGTGTGAATCAGTGAAATGTACGGATATAGAATTGCATCCACTACACTTATAATTAATAAGGTGTAGCGTCTACAAAACTTTTTTGTCACCAATATAATTGTTTCCCTTATCATAGTTTTGAATTTTCCATGGTTTCAATCGCTCAACTAACACATGTATATCCTTTAGCAAAGTTGTAGTTGTTTCTTATAAGCTCTTCGAGGTTCGTTTTTTTTTTCTTCTGCGTTTATTTTTCTCGTGTTTTTGTTATCGACCGTTCATGATATGCACCCACATCGTCATCATAAACTTTAAACTTTTAAACTTCCAAGTTTTGAACATGTTCAACTTTTCTTAGAGAAAAACAATTTTTCACAATGACTTTTAAATTTTTAGTTCAAATATAAACTAGTTTTAAGATTATTGGATGAATTTAAAATCGTTACTCAAATCTTATCAAATCCATCTTTAAAGTCAAATGAGTATACTATCTTTGGAAGCATCGATTTGGCTAAGAGCCTAGCAAACTGCTACGATATTTAGCACAATACCACAAGCGATTTTTTTCATGTCTAAAGATAGCAAGATTCCAAATATACGAGTTACGAACTCTTAGGTCGCTGTAATATTTTCGATACGACCCAAACATGGAGGATTCATTAGCGATAAAAATCATCTAGAACCGATAATATCAAGAATTTAAAACACCCTCAACCAGTCATTGTAAAGAGTGCACTACAAAAAGTGGAAAATACTGCACTCCACACCGCATTTACGAGACACTGAATATTGCTCATGCCATGTTAGTTTTCGGTTTTTTTTTTTCTAAGTCACGGGACGGACCAAAAGGGCAAAAAGGAAGGTGTTTCAAGAAACACATTGAAGTTTGGTTTGTCGCATTAAATGACTGAATTGTACCATCTCCAAAGCTACGAATGAACACAAAAGATAGTAAGATCGACTCTATTGACCAGGATTTCCAGTAAGGCGATCCACAGCAGCAGTAACATTCCCAGTAGAGGCAATCAATGCTGTGATGCTTTCTCGCTTATCAATGAAGCCCATTTCACGTAACTGAGATAGTTGAGTGGCGTATAATTCTTCAGGGGGAACTGCAATGAAGCATGAAAAAGAACACAAATTACACGAAGTAATTATAGTAAAACACGAAGAAGTAAAAAACACAAAATAACGAGAAAAAACACAAAATTGTAAGAAAGGGAGAGATAAGAACCTTGAGAACTATTTGGAGGAGTCCTAAGTCCACGAAACATGTTCGTCAATGTATCCAATCCCAAGTTGTCAGCTCTACCAGCTACAATTTCATACAGCCAATATGTTAGATGAACATTGAAATACGAAACATATGCAAATATAACTTCGATTGACTTGAGCGTACAGGGGCTTGCTTTCTAAGATATAGTCTAAGAAGTTATATACATGCAATTAGCCAAATCCTGTATTTATGAGATTTCTGTCAGCCGAAGACCATCAAACAATACCCATTCAAACACGAACAAAAATATTTATCTCTACAAAAATTCATAAAAATTGGTAATCCATTGTCTGGTTTTCCCGAAATATTTTTCATTCGCCAAAATCGAACCAAACATTTTTTAGCACTGTTATTCTTACTCCTCGTATAATTCTCTCTTCCCAAAATAGTTGCAAAATTACACACACACACACATACGTATAGATGCGCGAATATTTCAATTCTTATATTTAAAAAAATTCAAATCACTACATTAAAAGTTATGTTTACACCTTCCAGTCATTGCATTTATTATAGATAATATATAAATCTTAAATGTAAACACATTCTATAACAGTATAGAATGACCAGTCATAAACACTACATGACATATACAGTAAAACAATGTCTCCCAAATAAAATCAAACAAAAAGTTCCTAAAAAATGCACCAAATCAACCATTTCTAGTAAAATGAAATATATCAAAATATCCAGCTTAGATTCATGAATAATAAACAAGCTGCCTAGGCATTAAGAAATTACTTGTTTACGACATCTTCAATCTATTATGAGCATTTTCTGCCTAGGAATGTAAACAGCAAATTCAATACTTAAAAGCTAAGAACAGGAAACATCAGTTACTGAATCAGTGCAACAAAACTTGATGCACAGTCCGTATCAAGTAAAATCACATGTATCCATAAAATATAGAACGAGCGTCTAGTGAAAGAATCGACTAGTGCATTACGAATCGCTAGATTCAATGTTTAACGAGATCCAAAATATAAGAAAAAGCAGAATATTAGTTCCAGGAAGAAGTAAGATGCAGACCTGTTATCTCAGCATTTTGACCTGGTTCTCTGCAATATTCAGCGAAGCCAGTTAATTAGTAAAGCAACGGAACATCGACAGGAAAAATGCAGATCGTAACACTTGAATTTGGAGGCAGATTTCACGACTACAAAAATAATTTAGCCAAATATTTGATCTGACGGTGCACATTATTTCAATGCAAACGGATTCCTACCAACACATTTGAATCACAAATGTATCATCTTATAAATGATATACAGGAAAATAAAAGGGTCAAACTTACGGAGATGTCTGGCGACCAAGTCGAGATGACAGAGATCTGTTAAGTTGCTGAGACAGGAGAAAAAGCCACAAAGTCAAAGGTCTATAGTAGGAACTGGAACGGGAACGTAGATTAGAAGAAAATAAATACGATAAATTATTTGAAATTGTGGTGTTTCATAGAATGTTATATTTTTACTTCAAAAGTACACGAGATTTCCTAGCATTGCACATAGCACAGCTCACATTATTTTCAGATTTAAAGTAAATACTTCTAGAGAGGCACAATTTATGTTTTATGAAAAACTTCATTAGGCTGTTTTATGAGAAATCTCATTAGCACTGCATTGGAAAAAGAGAGATTCCTTTGCAGAGGAAGTTTCAATTGAAAGCAGCCATAAATAGAACCAAAAATAGTGGAGGGCAAAAAGGCTCTCCTAACAAAAAACTCATACACAGGCAAAGTTGCGGAATCCGTGCAGTATCCGGATACATCACCTCTAAATTGATATGCAACCATGCAAATAGTACTATACATTTTTTTGACCTACTTGACCCACAACCTTTTTCTTTTGTAATAGCTTCGCTGAGTTGCATTTCCAACAATCCGTGTTTCAGACTTCCCAACAAGGATACCATGTATATAGCATATTTCTAAGTGCTGGCAAAAGAATCTAAAACTCCCAAGCATTGCACATGCACTTTCATACACACACACACACACACAGTCACATCCACAGTGGTCTGCATTTAGAGATTCCATGCATTACAGACTAACACAATAGGTAAACAAAGCAAGAATCTACACAGAATCGGAGAGGGGGAGATCTAATAGTTTACCTGCAATGTCTCAGTAGAACCTAAGTGATGAACAGACTGAGCATGATTGGAGTTAGCCACGTTCACCAGCTGCTCCACATGAGAAAAATAAGATTTCAGAATTATACCAAAGACAGTAGAAAAGGACAAAGAAGAAAATTAGAAGTCAGCGTGCGTTCAGAAACTGGTAAATCAAGTTCAAGTTAAGCCTCTAAATAGAGTGCTCACGTTCCCAGACTGTGTATCCAAGTTTGTCTGCATTCCTCCAGCTGCAAAGTTTATTTCAAGAACATTAACAATCTGACAAAAATACTCATGCCAAACCAATACAAAATTTTAATAAAAAATACCAGAATGAAATAAATCGTACAAATTGGACATGTCAAATAACTTTGAAAACAATGTCAAGATATACTGGCCCCAAACTAATATAGTATCTCAAATGACTAAGGAATTGAAATACTTTGGAGCTCTCTGAACTATTTTAAGTTCTAGCCTGTCTCTGTTTATTACTAAAGTCATGACAGTCCACGCTATTGTCACAAGAATTTAAAGAACTGTTCAATGTAAGGAGAAGCATTCAATATATATATATATATATATATATATATATATATATATATATATATATATATATATATATATAGGACCTGTGCAGGAAAAATTATCAAGAAAATATAGAAACCCCAAAACTAATGCATGTTCCACCTAACATACCACAATACTACAGAAAGTGACGCGAAAAACTATTGCGGCGAGCAATTTTTATTTGAAATTATAGGAATTAAAAGATGGTGCTGCCAGATTTGGACTTACTGCCAGCAGAGGTCCCATTACGAGGCGGGTTTATATTCGGAGCAGGGGTATTGTAAACCCGATGCACTATCTCAGGGTACCGCGCAGATTCCATTGTATAATGGAAGGCTATAGGATCAGAAAATGTGCGTGTAACCCCTGGGTTACGGTCCATAATCTCGCGCGATTCAGGACTGCTCAACATCATGGTGCGCAGAATTTCGGGATTCCTCATTACATTCCGAACAGATGGCGAATTAAAAAAATCGCTAACCAGGTTGGGGTTTTGTCTGAACTGCTGCTGAACATGTTCATATATATCACTATAATTTCGTATTCCGTCGCGGAGAATTCCAGGAAAGAATGTAGATATAAGTCCAGGTCCACCTGGCCCGCCTTCATCAAAACCAGGAAAGAAATTACGAGCGCCAGCTTCAGTTGAAGCTGCAGGTACAGATGTCGCAGAACTTCGTACCAAGTGAACAGTGTGACCTGCCTCGAGACCTGTCAACAAAAAATAAAAATAGTTTAATTAATTCCAAATCATTCTATCATTTAATATTCTCGGTCGAGTTCTGAATTACAATTCAATGTCGAAATGTTAGTTAAATATTTTGAAGCATCCCAATTACGAAATTACGACTACATCTCAGAACATCGGAAACTCGCGATTTCGAATTTGTAGCACGTACGACACCACCACAGGTAATATTTCAAGCAAAAGATGCGACTATCCAAAGTAGAAGAAATACGAAATTGTTTCCGGTAAACGACATACACTTTAAAGACGAAAAGTAACTAGCACTGCATTACGAGAGAAACCATGGCATTTTCTACCAACAAATTCGTTCAGAAATTCATTTTCATGAAAACAGAACACCGATTTTCACCTCGTACGTGTAATCCTCATTCAAAAAACAAATCAGTGCGGAAATAAATGTAGAGAGTAACTAGGTGATTAATGATTATACCGTAGCTCCGAAGGGTACGATCGTCCGCCAAAATGCGGCCTCTGTAGATCACGCGCTGCTGGCGTGTGGGGATTTCGCATTTCCGAGCAACGATTGACTTGAAAAGTACAACGGTCGAGTCCAAGCACACCTGAACAGAGAATTTCGCACCGTCGGAGCAGCTGATGTTGATAGTCACCTCTTCTTCTCCGGCGTGATTGCTTGAATCGGTTCCGCCGTGTGACGCAGCGCCGCCGCTCATTCTGGAGAAAAAGTATAGCAGAAACTAGGAAAAAAAACCAAATGCGAGTTGATCGTGCTGAAACCCTAGGGTTAGTCGAGTACGTACAGTTCTGCGAACAAAAAAAGAAAAGAAAAACAAATATATAGTTCTGAGTATTTGCTTGCAGTGATGCTAGAAGGGTCTGTGGTTTAAAAGAGAGAATATTAATAAAACCGCCATTATGGCCTCACTGTAAATAAACATGACTCAAAGAAAAGTGTTTATATTTTATTATTTATAACCTATAGTTTATTTCGTAGCACTAAACAAATGTACATATACACGTGTCATCGTGTAACAAAGTAAATATATTTCTATTATTAGGTGGATCTTGTCACACATGGTTAGTCTAGTGTGATTTATGTCTTCTGTATGATTTGCAAGCTATTGTTCGAGAATATAAATTTACACAGTATATCTATAAGCTCGGATTTCTTCATTAAAAAAACTGTGCCAATGATGAATGAAAATAAATATGCACATCTAATTAATATAATGTCCACATTGTCAGCCTAATTTCATGGAGTTATTCTTATTCTTATTTTTATTTTATTTTATTATTTTGATAATAAGGGAGCTATTTTGCTTAATTTCTTTCTCTTCACTGGTTTTGCCATTTATGTGAACGTATAACATTATACCTATGTAGCATGGACACGCAAATGGTGATACGGCCTATCGGGAAACAAGGAAACAGATACGGGGTAACGGTATATTCAAAAAATGGGAATACGGGGAGTTTAGACAAAATGCGTAAATATTAAAAGTATTGGGGTATATTTATGAATATGTTATATAAACATACCTAAGTTTTTATTTATATACAAATTATTTTTATATATTTTCATGCAAACATATTCAAAATAAATTTTACTATTAATTCACAATTGATCATTAAATCATGTAAATAATTAGGGAATCAACAAAACTATTTGAAAATTTATTATGCAAACATGTTTCTAACCTTTTACAAATTGCAAAAATTACCCATAAGGTGCCCGGCAGGTGTCCTCGAGCGTCTGGCACAAAATGTGTCCGAAAACGTGGAAACTTTAAGAAGTTAAAGCTTTATGTGCTACATAGCTTTATACACACACATTTTTTTCCGATTGAACATAATACACGTATATTGTACATATATGATATATTAGGATATAAATCGGAATGAAATTTCAATTTTTCGGCAATTCTAATTCAAAAGGTTATGTTTTCGATTCCAAAATTCCAATTTCCGATGTTTTTATTTTATTTTTGTAAATTGAAATTGGAAGTATATAAACTACTACAGTCATGCTCGATTTGTGTATTGGCTTACTAAAATCGCAAGTCACCTAAGAAAAATAGTGCCGTTGGCAAATTGAATATATTCAATGTAGGCAACTTTTTTATTTAGTTGGAATATTATGGAATTAGATCTTCGATCAAGTATCTACGACGATACTCCTTTTTTCAGTATCAACATCTCTAAAATGAAATTGAGTATCTTTTCGTCATAGAAATCTCCAAAAACGCAATTCCGATCTTGATAAATAAAAAAAAAGTTAAAACTGTTAAACAAAAGTCTCGATATTTGAAGATCACCCAATTCCTACTCCAATCTTGGTCTTTTTGCTTAAAATTTAAAAAATAGATGCAATGGATGATATCCTTAGGTTGCATTCGGATGACAAAATTTGAGCTAAGGACTTTCATGTTTGAAGTTAGATTTGAATGGAACGATTTGAAGGAAGAATTTCAAATTCATATTAACATATTTTACTAAGCTTGTTTGAACTGAGTCGTCTAGCAATATTTTTTGAAGTTTTTAGTTAAAACTTTAAAAACATTCATTTTAGAGTCATTTCAATCACTTTTCAATTGGTATCGTTTTTTACATCCATTTATTCGAAATCATTCAATTCAAACAAATCAATGAATATTAAAATTTTATAGCCTAACTAAAACTAATTTTAAAATTATAATAATGAATTTGAAATGCACCCAGCTAGGAGTCCTTTCAAATCCATAGTTAAATCTTCTAATATAATCCAACTCTATCGAACTAAATGAGGTGCAATAGAATCTCGATTAAATAATAGTTTCTCACAGCCCCGACTCGGTGAAAACGTATTAAATTATTAACTCGATAATTTAATAATTGGCTAAATTAATAGAGTTTCCCTGGTCTCAACTGTATTAATGGACTCTTAATTTATAGAGATTTAACTGTATACTAAAATTTTGAACTATTGAGGTCAAGAGACTAACAAACTTCTATAATGCAACATTGCAAGGAAGTTTTCATGTCAACAAGAAAGTTGGTCTAGAGATATACGAGTTACGACTTGTTAGATCACTGTACAGGGGAAAAAAACAATTTTGATACGACCCGAACCACCGGGATTTTGTTAGCGATACAAAATTTTCTAGAACAGGGAATATCAAGAATCTACACCCCCAACCAATCATAGTAAAGAGACCGAGTATACTGCGAATTCACGTTGTATTTACAACACACTCAATATTGCGTGTGTTTCTTGTTTGTTTCCGTTTTCTTTTTCAAAGTGATGCGACAAAAGATTTGTTAGACAAACCTATTCAAGTTGGTTTTTGTCGTATGATATGAATGTACCGTGATCTGCATTGTCCAAATTCCATCTCGAAAGCTACGTATGAACAGGAAAGATAGAATATGATGGCTCTATCGATAAGAATTTCCCACAAGGCGTTCCACAGCAGCACCAACATTCCCAGCAGCGGCAATCAATGCTCTGATGTTTTCTTGAGTATCGATGAATCCCATTTCTCGTAACTGAGAGAGTTGAGTAGCGTATAATTCCTCAGGGGGGGCTGCAATAAAATATGAAAGCAACACAAATTATACAGAGGAATTCTAGTAAAACATGAAAACAAACACAAAATAACGAGAAAAGAACAATGAGAGAGAAGCATGAGAACAAACACAAAGAACCTTGAGAACTATTTGGAGTGGTCATGCCACCAACAGTCCCGAGTCCCCGAAACATGTTCATTAACATATCCAATCCCATGTTGTCAGCTGTTGCAGCTACAATTTCATACAGCCACTATGTTGGATAAACAGTGAAATACGAAATATATGCAAATATAACTTCAGTTTACTTGAGCATAAATGAGCTTTTCTGTTAGCATGTACTTTAAAATGTTATAACACGCAATTACGCAAATCCTGGATTTACGAGGTTTCTGTCACCCAAAGTCCATCAAACAATACACATTCTTATATGGACAATAATATTTCTCTCTATGAACTTCATCGAAAATTAGCAACTTTTTGTTTGATTTTCCCAAAAAAAAATTCATTCACCAAAACCAAACAAAACATTTAGCATTGTTATCTCTCAAATATCTCTTCCCAACATATTCGAGAAAATCTTAATCTTTACTTTAAGCGAAATAAATAAAGTCACATGCACACACAAATTATAAGAATGAACAATGAGAGAGACAAAGAGATATGAAAACAAACACAAAATCATAAGAGAAGATGTAACTTTGAGATCTATTTTGAGTGGTAATACCACCAACAATCCCGAGTCCACTAAATATGTTCATCAGCATATTCAATACCATGTTGACAGCTGTCCCAGCTACTATTTCATGCAGCCAATATGTGAGATGTACAGTGAAATGAGAATAATTACGTGGAATTATAACTTCAGTTTACTTGCGCATATAGGAGCTTTCTTTGCTAGTATGTAGTCTAAAAAACGTTAAAACATGCAATTCCGCAAACCCCTAGATTGCAATGTTTCTTCAGGAGAAGACCATCAAACAATACCCATTCATACACAAAGGTCAATGAAAGTGAACAGTAAATCCAGTACTTGTTAGTTAAGAACAAACATTATTAATTTACTGAAAAAATGCAACGAAAAATACATGCAAAGTCTGTATAAATTAAAATTCACACATAGAATGAGCATCAAATGAACAAATTGACTAGTGCACCACGAATCTTGACTCAATGTTGGAACACAATCCAAAATATAAGGAAAAACATAATGTTGGTTCGAGGAAGTAAGAAGCAGACCTGTTTCCCCAGCAGCATTTCGACCTGTTTCTCCAGCAGCATTTCGACCAGGTTCTCTGCAATATTCAACAAGTCCAGTTATTAACAAAGCCATAGGACATCAACAGGCTATATGCAGATTGTAACACTGGAATGTAGAGGCATCTTTCACAGGTATAAAATACTTTTAGCCAAATACTTGGTCTGAAAGGTACTCATACAAATGGAGAGGATTCCCACTAACATATATTACAAAAATCCAATCACAGTGTTTCATGATAGTTTCTTGAAAAATAATATACAGGAAAAGAAAAAGGTCAAACTTACACAGATGGCTGGCTACCAAGTTGAGATGACAGAGAACTTTGAAGTTGCTGAAACAGGAGAAAAAAATATCTGACTAAAAAATACAATAAAACTATCTGAAATTGTAATTTTTCATGGAAAGCTATATCAGAAGTTCGCTACATTTCCTAGCATCAAGTTAGCGAAAAACAAATTATTTGCAGATTTAACATAAATACTTCTAGAGAGGCAGTATATTAATTTTTTGTTTCATGAGACATTTGATTAGGCTGTTCTGCCACTGAATGCAGCACCACATTGCAAGAAAAGGGAACATGACAATTTATAGCAGCATGAATTGCTACTCCATTGTAGAGGGATTGTAAATAGAGATAGCCTCCAACTAAATTATCTTTGAAGTCTCAAGTTTAAGCTAGAGAAGGAAAAAAATTGGAGGGGCAAAAAGGCCCTCCAAACAAAAAGCCCATTGGCAGAAGAGGAAAAATAGTGACGAATAGTGCTTTTAGTTGCGGAATCCTTTACAGCTAGAGAAGAAAAAAGACTAATTAATACTACATCCACTACTTTTAGTTGCGAAATCCATTCCATATTAGTATACATAACCCCTAAATGGAGCTAATTAGTATGCAACATTAACACTGAGATTACAAATGAAAAATAGTGCTTTCTTTTTGTTTACCTACTTGTACCGCTTCACTGAATTGCATTTCCAACAATCATTGTTTCAGAAATTCCAACAAGGATACCATTTCTACTGCATATTTCTCAGAGCTGGCAAAAGAATCTGAAACTCCCAATAGCATTGCCCGCGCACACACACACACACACACACACACACACACACACACACACACACACACACACAACACACACAACACACACATCCACAGTGGTCTGCATTCAGAAATTCAATGCATTATAACCTAACAACATAGGTAAGAAAAGCAAGAATCTCCAAAGAGTTGGAGAAGGAGGGATCTACAGTTTACCTGTGACATTCTTAAGTGATTAATAAACTCAGCAGGATTGGAGTTAGCCATGCCCAGCAGCTATGGATTGAGGCCAAGAAAGTGAGGTCGTTACATGAGAAGAATAAGTCAATGAGATTTAAAAATTATACCCAAAAAAAAGGCAAAGAGGAATAGTCAGGAATGATCATAATCAAATAGCATTTCGCAGCACCTGATTCATGTACTGTGGACTTGCTAAGAGATTCTCCATGATGTCGTACATGGATGGATTTTGCATTAACTGATTAGAAGAAGATCCAACTGGCATAGAACCCGGCGTGCGCTCAAGAACTGGGATACCAAAGTTTGTCTGCATTCCTCCAGCTGCAAAGTTTAATTTAAGAACATTAAAGAGCTGGGAAAAATACTCATTTCAAACCAATACAAAGTTTTCATTAAAAATACTGAACAACCCGTTGGACAAGTCAAAAACTTCGGAAAAAAAATTATATTGGCCCCAAATTAACCTAGCATCTTAAAGAGTTACAAGGAACTGAAACACTTTAAATTCTTGCCGTTCTCCTTTACATTGAAAGTCCAAAATGTCTACGCTATTGTGGCAAGAATTTAATGAACTGTTCAAATGTAAGCAGAAGCATTCATAAAAAAAAAAATAAAAAAAAATCAAGAACTAAAAAAAAAAAGAAAAAGCAAGCACTAAAAATGTGTCAGTTATGCAAATCTACAGTTCAATTTTTGTATAGTAGATTAAAACAGATAGGATGCTGGAGGTAAATTTTCAACAAACAAAGGAAAAACAAATCACTATTAATGCATGTTCCACCTAACATTTCCCCAATACTACAGAATCTGAAGAAAATTAATCAGAAAAACGGCGATCATTTTGAGAATTTGAAATTGCAGGAAAGCCTAACCACTAAAAAAAATGGTGCAACCAGATTCAGACTCACCGCCAGCAGAATTCCAGGGATTTGGAAGTGGTCTTGTATTTGGACCAGAGGAATTGGTTGTGACTTCAGGTCCAGCAGATACAGAATTATTTGAATTCCAACTGCCAAGTCTGTCAACTTGAGCTCCCAACAGGGCCTCAAGGGGTTCTTGCACATTTTCATACATCTGTCTTAGCATGTTAAAGCCCCCAGGAAAAGATTCAATGTTGCTCATTGCCCTGTCATTGTTGCGCATCCGCTCACGCATTATTTCCGGGCTATGTGAAGGCTCCATTGCCTGACGGAGGGTCTCGGGATCATTAAGTATGTGTGCAATATCTGGGTTACGGTCAATAAACTCGCGCATTTGAGGATTGTCAGTGATAATGTTGCGTATAGTTTCAGGATTGTTCATTATATTCTGAACAAACGGCATATTAGAAATATCTCTAATCATGTTGCGGTTCTGAGTTAACTGTTGCCGTAATTGTTCAAATATATCACTAGCACTTCCTAATCCATCGAGGCCAAGTCCAGGAAACAATGAAGACCCAAATGCAGATCCTCCAAGTGGGCCATCTTCACTAAAACCTGCATCAGCTGTAGTTGCAGCCTCCGCAGGTACTCCTGGTTCAAAAATCTGTGCAATGTGGATAATGTCATCAGCATTAAGACCTGTCAACAAAAAAAAGAAGAATATTTTAATTTAATTCCACGTCTCTTTATCAACCATAGCATCCGAAATATAATTTCTAAATTAATCTAACTCAATGTCAAGATGTTGAAAAAGATTTTGAAGCATCCCAATAATGCTATTATGACATAGCAACTTCCAATTTCAAATCTGTAGTATGTAGAGAGCCACTAACAGGTCAGGAAAAAGATGTGACCACCCAAAGTATACATATGAAACTATTTCGGGTAAATGCCATACGATTTAAGATGAAAAGTAACAACGAATGCATACCAATACAGCATCAGAGAGAAACATGACATTCTCTACTTAGTCTGGTGCAAAGGAAATATCTTAATTGGCTTTACTAGATCTATTACTTACGCATCACTTCACGCATTGTTTCACGCATTATATCAGGGTCCCGTAAGGCTTCCACAGCCTGACGGAGGCCCGAAGGATCATTAAGTATCTGTGCAAGCTCTGGGTTACGGTCCATAATATCGCTCAGTTGAGGATTGTTCACAATCACATTGCGGATTGTTTCGGGATTATTGATTATATTCTGAAAAGACGGCATATTAAACATATTGCTAAGCATGTCGGGGTTTTGAATTAACTGTTGCAGCCTTTCTTGAAATATATTCCTAGCACTTTCTAATCCAGTTAGGCCAAGTCCAGGGGACAAAGAAGATCCAAACTCAGATCCTCCTCGTCGCACACCTTCACTGGAACCTGCACCTGTGCTTGGAATTGGATTTGTACTTCGAACTCCAGCATCCGTTGAAGCTGCAGTTACAGCTGTTGCAAAACTTCGTACCAAGTAGACAGTATGGTCAGCCTCAAGACCTGTCGACAGAAAATAAGAACAATTTAATTAATTCCACATCTGAACCTGAATTACCCTAACTCAATGTCAAGATGTTGCAAAAGCTTTCAAAGTATCGCAATTATGCTATTAGTACTACATCTCAGCATCATATAAGTTGGCAACTGGCAATTTCAAATTTGTAGCTTGTAGAGAGACACATAACATTCTCTATTTATTCTGGTTCAAAGAAAATAGATTTTCATCGGCGTTAATAGACCAGAGCAATACACTCTGACACTTAAATGCAATTGCACCCGATACAGATCTTTACGTTAATCCTAGAAACAGTCTTGGATATTTACGAATTACGATACTCAATTTGCTAGGCCCCATCCAATTATAGAAATAGATCGATACATGTATGGATATCTCACTAGATTGAATCGGGGTACTTCAAGAATTCTGTTTCGAATATGATCAAATTAAACAATAGACACTCAAGCATTTCGCCGCATGATTATCGAAAATAAATCTCCCTCCCCACCGTAGTTTATACAAACAGCCATAAGACTATCAAATTACCAATAAATTGCAAATTCATTTTAATAAAACATAATTAGAAACAAAATACACCTTTATTACGTGTTATCAGTAAGGAAATAATAATAATAATGACAATGATGAGGCTTCATACCGTAGCTCTGAAGAGTTTGATCGTCCTTCAAAATGCGGCCTCTGTAGATTAAACGCTGCTGATGTATGGGGATTTCGCATTTCCGAGCAAGGATTGACTTGAAAAATTCAACGGTTGAGTCCAAGTACACATGAACAGAGAATTCCGAGCCGTTCGCGCAGCTGACGTCGACAGTCACTTCTTCTCCGACGCGGTTGCTCGAATCGTCTCCGCCGTGCGCCGCCTCGCCGCCGCCCATTCTGATGAAATCTGACAGTGACAAGGAGAATCAAATACGGATTGATTGATCGTCAGAGATAGTGCTGAACCCTAGTGAAGAAATTGGGGAAATGTTTATATATCTTCTTCTTATCTCTCGATCAGTTCATATATATATTTATATATATACTCCTACCATGCATAGAAAATTGATTGTGGAAATCAATCTCCAAGTATTACGTAAGATACGTACAGAGATATACACTCCGTATATATCTCCTCTTTCAATACCTAGATTTTCTCTCTCTGTTTCTTTTCAGTCAAGTTTGTTATAGTTCTGAGTACACAGGTGCTCAATTTTGCCATAAAATATTTATTTTTAGGGATAATTAGTGAAAACCCCCAAATTCATTTACTTATATTAGGGTGGATATAACCTCTTTTTCATTATTAGGGAGAACCCCCCACCTTATATTAAATAATTTATTTTTTAATTAATATTGTATTTAACATTACTAATATACCTAATATGTCCTTCTGTGTTATATTTAAAATAACCAAACCTATTTTACGTTCTCTTTATTTCTCTTATTTCCCTCTCCCTTTTCTCTCTATAAACCACCGCCTCCAACCCTCCCCATCTCTGCGTTGCTGATGCCGCCATCTCCAACCATCTTCCGTCTCTGTGTCGTCGTCTACTCTCTCCCATCGGCGTTCCTCCCTCCACCGCCGCGAAAAGAAGGCGGTCTCCACCCCTGGAATTCTCTCGTCATGGACGGCATTAGGGTTTTCGGTAGGGAGAATGACGAGACTACGGAACGGCGCTAGGGTTGATATTGCGTTTGAGATTTCAATAGAGACCACCGCCAATATTATTTGATTGTTGTGGTTCTTCTTCTTCTCTGATTTTTTACCCAATTCTCGAATCTCATTTTTCTTAGTTGGAGATTTTGGTTGAATTCTTATATTGAAGGCTAATTTTGTGTTCAATCAATAGTATAATGGATGTTTGTTTGCTTTTGAAATTGTGTTGGTGCTATTTACAGACATATAGTTGTTTTCGTACAACAATATAGTTGTTTTCGTACAGTAATATAGTTGTTTTCGTACAACAATAAAGTTGTTTTCGTACAGTAATATAGTTGTTTTCGTACAACAATATAGTTGTTTTTACTACGTTTTAGTTGATGTTAATAAATAGTTGATTTAACAAATAGAATAATTGATTTTGATAAATGAGATTTGTTGGAGATATATAGTTGTTTTAATAACAGTTGTTTAATATAGTTGTTTTTAACATTAGTCGTTTTAATAATAGTTGTTTTATTGAAATATAGTTGTTTTAGCTGAAGACAAAAAAAAAATACTAAAAAAATATATTTTTTTTAAAATATAATAAAAAGTTATAAAAAATATTTGTTTTTAAATATTATTTTTTAAATAAGAAATAAATAAATAAACGAAAATTAAAATTAAAATATAAAAAAATAAAAAGTGCATTTAAGTATGGTATAACAGGTACTGAATAGACGAAGGGTAAATTTGAGAATAAAAAAAAGATGGGTCTCTCATTAATAAAGGAAAAGGAGCTGGGCCCATGCTTATTAAAATAATGCTAGAGGGGGTTCTCACTAATAGTCCCTTATTTTTACTTCACTATGTTATTTTCTTCATTTTTTTTTTATTATTTTTTTTTTTTCGGTCTATTTCGGAAATTGAAATGGCTTATTTTTTTATTTATTTTTAATGAAATTGGTATTAATTTTTTCACTTTTTTCTTTAATCTTTTTTATCGAATGTGCTAATTTCGAGCTGAATCCAATTTACACTTAAAGGGTATTTGGGGCCTGTTTGGCTAAGCTTATAAGCTCCTAAAAATATCTTATAAGATATTTAAGAGCTTATAAACTCTTAAAAAGTGTTTGGTAAAAAAATTACAAAAGAATCTTATTTTTTTCCAAAATAAGCTGTTAGAGAGTTTATAAAATATTTTTAAAAAAATACCTACACCCCACTTTTTTTCTTATTTGTTTCTTTACTAAAACACTCAAAATACAAAACTACCCTCAAATACTTTATTATATTACATGAATACAAATAATATTTCTATATTTTATCAAAACAACGTATTATTGTAATCAAGATTAATAATTAGTTAAAATATATTTATCATAATAATTGTAAAAAAAATTCTAAGTATATTTTATTGTATATAAAAATATCCGAATATTCTTATTATTTCAATAATAAATTATCTTTCCTTTATCTATAAAAAAAATTATATTTCTTTGACAAAATAAAAACCTTTATTTTATATTTTTATATTAATATATTAATGACAAAAGAATAAAACTTTCACAACCCTTTTTCATTAAAATATTTTATTACACTTCATTTTATTATAAAAAATAGTCAAATATTATATCAACGTAAAAAAAATCATTAGTTTATTTAATATATAATTTCATATTATTATTTTTATTTGAAAAGTTAATTTGTAAATATTATAATAACATTTTAGGAACAAAAGTATTTGAGTCAAATAAGTTTAACAGTTATAATGTCGTCATGTACTTTTTTGTCATTATAGCAGTAAACAGACCTTTTATTTCCAAACACATAAACAACTTATAAGAACTAAAAGTAAGTGATAAGCAACATATCCAAATACCTCAAAAAATAATTTTTAAAATAAAATCTAACAATTTATCAGCTCCTAAAACATCTTATCAGATGCACGAGCTTATAAGATGTTTTAAATGAGCTTAGCCAAACGGGCTCTTGGCTAACTATATTTTAAAGGGGTCATTACAAATAAGATCATCAATGGGTACTTATTCATAAATAGATGTAGATAAAAAACTTCTTAACAAATAAGTCCACACAGGGTCCAATTTTTTGTAAAAGACTATAATAGCCCCTCATACTTTAATATGCTCCAATTTCATCATTAACTTAATTTAATCTCAATTTGACCCCAAATTTCACAAATTATTCAATTTTGCCCCAAAACATTTTTTTTTCAAAACAGACTTTTTTTGCCGCCGGATTCCGGCGTTGACCGGCGGTCAACGCCGGTCTTCAATTTTTTTTCTTTTTCTTCTTCCGGATTTTTTCGCCGGTTTCCGGGGTTGATCGGCGGTCAACGTCGGTCTCCAGTGTTGACTTTTACGATTTTTTTTCTTTCTGTAACATTTTTTTTTCTCGTTTAAACATCAATAATGTTGTGATTGACAGTAATATTAACTATATTATTGTTAAACACAATAAAAATAACTAAACTACAGTTTAACACAGTAAGGCCCCGTTTGGTAGGCAAGATAAGATTATCCAAGATAAGATTAAATAACTTAATGAGACCCAATTATTTAATCGGAGCTTGAAACGCCCAACTAAAAGAACTCATTAGAAGCCAAGATAAGCTAAGATAAGGCAGGATAAGCCATAATTATATAATTTTGGCCGGTCGACCCGGCAATTTATTGAGGATACCAAACATCAAATTAAGTCCAACTATTTAGTAAATCATTGCTTATCTTGGCAACCAAACGGGGCCTAATATTGCTATATTACTCTCTAGCACAATAATATTAACACAACAAAACTTATTATTATTCTGTAATAGAGTAATATTACTATGTTGACCGTTCAACAAATGTGACATAAGTGTCTAGGATTAGATAATTAAATATTCTCTGTGGGATCGATATCCGAACTTAAGTGTCCACTTTATTACTTGTACGATACGTGCACTTGCGTGTAGGTATTACCACCAATAGTATTCGCCCTTTGACAGGCATTGACGGCTAGAATTTGGTTACGTTCCCTTCAAGAAATTCTGGACGTTGGAGATCGAGCCACGTGTCGCACCAATTTCACTTACTTTCCCCCGTTTTTTTCCCCTCTTTCTTCACACTCTCCTGAAGTCCATTTGATATTTCATAACCACCTCTCTCTCTCTCTCTCTCTCTCTCTCTCTCTCTCTCTCTCTCTCTCCACAACGAATCTGCACTCACTCCCTATGCTCTGCACATTATGTGGCCTCCGATACTTTTGCGCTGCCTCCTCCGTCTCCGCCGTCGTCTCCACCGCGGTCTCCTTGCCGATGTTGCCCGTCCACGCCCACCAGCGCCTCCCGCTCCCGCCCGCGACACCCATCCGCCGCTGCAGCCACCGGTGCACCAGAACTTGCCGAGTGCACCAGAACTTGCCGAGTGTCTTGGCAATAATTTCAAGTTCGGGCTTCATCACCATTTGTGGAACCATTACTAAGTGATAACAATTACTTGAAATACTTAAGTAATTTCCATCAGTAATTATATGTGGAAATATTTTCACCTCATGTGCACGTGAGTGCCATAGCTTCTGCTCTTCAGGAGGCAATGTCTTGAAAATCCGATCAGAGACGATGTACTCAACCCATGTTGATAATGATAAAAATAAATAAATAAAATGTAGTTAGCAAGAGTATCAAGTCCTCTCTGGAAGTAGGTTGTGTGTCATGGGCAGCCAGTTTTGGCCCAACTCTTTGTTAGTTCTCTTGGGTTTGGAGGTCAAAGAAGCCCAAATAGTGTTAGGCCAAATTTGGCTAAATAGAGTTGGTAGAGATTCTTAGAGGATTTTATCAAAATTTCTACAACACCCACTCATTTTGTAAAAATTCTCTGGTTTTGTAGGAATTCTTTGGAGTGTTCTAGTGAACAACTCATAGCCCTTAGATTAAGTAGATCTCCACCGTAATTAAGTAGCTGGCCTAGTATAAATAACAGTAGAACTTCATTTGTAAGCATCCAATAAATCCAATAGTTACAAGCAATACTTTCCTACAAAACTCTCTTACCTTCTTAAGTTCGAATCTCTTATCTTCTTAAGTTCGAAGAGGAGCTAATATGTCGCTTTGTTGCGAATCTCTTCAATGATCGTCATTTTATAGTTTCTGGATTTCAACTTTTATATTATAGAATTTTGCGAATCTCTTCAATGATCGTCATTTTATAGTTTCTGGATTCCAACTTTTATATGATAGAATTGAATGACATTCACACCGTAAGAATACCGATTAGTAACCGTCATGCCGCGCCTTTGATTGACTTTGCTATGCATTTAGGATATGGTGTTATGTTCGTTTGAGGTTTAGTTTTGAATCGTGTTTTGGGCTGATTATGCTCGTCAATTAGGGACTATGGCTGGCCTAATTTGAGGTTTAGGTTGAAATCTAGTTTCAATCGTTAAATGCACGTTCGACAATTTCATTTCGGTTTTTAGGTTGATTCCACTTGCATTTCATTTTGTTTGTTGTTTTTCTGTTTGATTCCAC